TGGAATTAAATATATGATAAATAATCTAAGTGAAATCGAAATCCTAACTATCTAATCACATAATCTTTTCTACAATGTGAATTTGAGTTTGTTATTTTTAATTAATAGTTTATTATTTTATATATTAGAATTTTGTTTAGAAAACAAAACTTGATTTGATCATTAGTTATCGGTTTAATTTAAATTGAAGTTAGGTTAATTTAAAACTTTATAGTAGATAGCAGTTTTTGTGGGACGATACTCGGACTTAATAAATTCACTTTAGTACTTATTACGATCCGTATACTTGCTAAATTTCACGAATAATTAGCCTTAACGACCTTCCATTTGAAGTTAGCTTTGCTTTTAGAATGCCGACTACATGGGAATTGATGTTTTTCCCTTTTACAGGTTTTCTATCTATTTCTTTTCTGCTCGAGGCTTTCCTTTGTACCTTACTGTAGTTTGCCCATAACCATCGACGGCAAGGGTTATGGAATAGACCAAACTAATCCAATTAGATGCATGTTTGGTAGGAATTAAAATCTAGATTTTAATTTAAATTAAAGTCAACAATTCATTTTAATCACATATTTTATGGAATTCACAAATTTTCAACCATATATTTTAATAACTTTTATTAAAATTTATTAAAAATCTGATTTTAATCATCAGGGGCTTGAAAGTTGAAAGCAAAGCTATTTTAATTAAAGTTAATTTTACAAATGATCACTGAAGTTCAAATAAAATTTCAAATTGGTCCTTAAAGTAATTTCTATTGCGTTCATGTCCTTGAAATAAAATATTAGTGAAATTAACTCAATTTTCCGTATTTTATTTGTTGTGGAAAGAGTAGGGTTTTGCAGAGAAGAGGAAAAACCCTAAACAAAATATTCAAGCAATGACTGTGCTGAGCTCCAAGAAAATCTTGCAAGACAATGATACCACTGATCCCAATTCCATCACTTCTCTTACACTCACCCACAAAGCCCTTTCTGATGTAATTCCTTTTTCTCTGCATTCTGATTTTTTCCCTACTTCTTGTTTAAGTTTCTCATCGAATTTTTTGTGGGTTAACAGGTTTCATGCTTGGGCGAGTTCAAGAATTTGGAAAGACTTGATCTTGGTTTCAACAATTTAACTTCTCTTGAGGTAGTAATACTCGGAACGCATTTTTGCTTGTAACTCTGTAGAGGTAGTATTTTGTAAAAACGTTTGATGTATCCAAGATTTGTTTTATTAATTTTTACGTTTTTTGAATTCAGGGTTTGAAGTCTTGTGTGAATTTGAAGTGGTTGTCGGTTTTGCAGAACAAGCTTGAGAGCTTGAAAGGGATTGAGGAACTCAGTAAACTATCTGTAAGTAGCACAAATCACCACACAACCATCTTTAGAAATTTTGTCTTACTTGATTGTTGAGTTTTTTAAACATGAAGCTTTGAAAGCTTTAATTTAATGAATGAAATTCAAATTAAAACCAACTCCAAGTTATTGGTATTGGAGTATAAATAGGATTAGGAGTTCATCAGTAATGAAGCTATTTGTTAAAGCTTGGATTTCAGAGTTTTCCAGTCATTTTAAAACCTAACATTTCATCAAATACAATTGCATGAATTAGAGGACAATATTTAGAATCTGATGCTGCCTTTTGTTGTCACTTACATGGTCTTAAAGTTAAATTCCAGTCCCACCCATTAATACATACAACCCCTTGTTGAATAAAATCGACATATTTGAATTGAGAAATTGAGTTTGATCATAATTCTTCATCTAGTCTCCAATATATTTTGCTGTTAAAATTAATGACGTCCTTCTGTTGTTCTCCGGGTTATATCAAAATTAATAGCTCTGAATCAAACAGGGGTTTTAACGGCTTTCTAAGAAATTTGATTTTATCTAGAAATTTTTAGTGTCATTTGTCCTATCCTTTTTCTATTATTGGAAGTTTTTTGGAATGTTACTCAGAAGATTGAGTGATGTGGATCCTGACATTTAACTCATCAAGCTAGAAGTTAGTCAACATTCTTCTAACCAAAATTAAGTTACCTCTATTATAATTGGGTTGTTTACATTCCTTGATGGATGATAATGTAAAATGAAAATAAAACATGTTGAAATTATCTTTATTTTCTTCCACTGATTTTTATTATGATCAACAGTAACTTTTTTGCATTCTCATAAAATGTGTGCAAGTTTCATTATTTTAAAGCTGCTATCACGTCATATAACCTCGCTGAAATGAGATTTTCAAGTCATTTCTGGTTTAGTTTGTATGCAAGTACAACTTATTGAGCTTTTGCCTAACACTTTCCTCGTCTTATAATATGCAGGTATTGAACGCTGGAAAAAACAAGCTTAAGTCAATAGACGGGGTCAAGTCTCTTGTAAGTTTGCGGGCATTGATTTTGAATGGTAATTTTTTTTTGTACAAGACATTGTAATACAATAAATAAATAAAAAATTTCCGAGGAGATTAGATTTTTTAAATCTTCCTTCTTCACCTATGGCAGACAATGATATCAGTTCAGTTTGCAAGCTTGATCAGTTGAAAGAGTTGAATACTCTAGGTATATGTTCTGAATTTTTATGCATACATGAAATTTTTGAGCTGCATATGGTTCTGCTCAGCAAGGAGTTGACCTCAGACTAATTTTTGACAAGTTTTACTTGAATGCTAGACATAATATCCCTTCATGACTTTGGTGAAATCTATGTTCTGTTACGTTGAAAATAATTTTGATTTGATGCATATTTAATTGGAAGTTATTCTCTATTACCTAATATCTTAACATATTCGGCTGCATATGCTTATTGTGGTTATTCAATGATTTTGTACTTATCCAAGTATATTATTCTTAAATAAAGCACTTCTTTCAGATAAGCTAACTGATGGTCCTCTGGGCCTTTTGTTTCATGGAGTATATATTTATCTATTTGATCTTAAATCTCCAGAGCTTAAGATGATCAGCTCAACACAAGAGATTGCATAATATAACTTCCCTATATTTTCTCTCTTAAACTAATTGGCTATGGATCTCCATTTGTTTATGTTGATGTGCCTCAATGGCTGTATTTGAATTGGCCTCAACCATCTTTATACCAAAAAAAAAAAAAGTGCATTTCTCTGCACCTTGCACCTCATATCAATGAACTATAGTTCTCGTACTTGGTAGGAGTCATTTATTGTGCTGTAAGTTGGTAAAGTATAGAAACCTTCAAACTTCACAAATGTGTATTAAATATGAAGATATATGCTTTTGCTAAGTTGGAGGGTTTTTATATTTTTAGAAGGAAACTCTTTCGAATCTCATTTTTTAAATATGATGAAATATTTGCTTTATATGTTTAATAAAATCTTTAATGCTTTGAAGTCTATTTACAATTTAATTTTCTATCTATTACTTAAAGTTTTATTTGTTCATGCTATTCATCTTTCCCTCATAACTGATATAATTTACATTTTTTATGTTCTTGGATTTTTAATTACGTATTTCCTCTAATTCTCCTTCCAAATTAATTGTTTTTAGATTTAGAATTGGAATGTAAACTGTGTATTTTTCTTTCATTCAATCTAATTGAAAATGAAATACAAGAGAGTTATATAAATAGCGTACGGGAATATCTAGCTGGCTACCAACTAACTTTCTAACTAATTGACTAACTAACAGAATTAACTAACTAACTATATGTACAAGTTTTATATCTACAACCCAAATACTCCCTCTCAAGATGTATTGAAAATGTTTTTGATAAGACATCTTAGATAATAAAGGAGTAAAAGAAGAAGCGTGAAGTGGTTTAGTGAAAACGTCAGCTAGTTGGTGTCGTGATCGGATTGGAAGAAGTGTAACCATTCCAACTGCAATTTTGTCTCGGATGAAATGGCAGTCGATTTCGATATGCTTAGTCTATTCATGGAGGGTGGGATTGGTAGCAATTTGAATCGTCGCTTGATTGTCACAGAAAAGGACAGCAGGAGATGCTTCAAGAGTGGAATCTTTTAACAATTGAATTATCCAAGTAATTTCACTAATGGTGGCAGCAAGTACGCGATATTCTGCCTCAGCTGATGATCGGGACACTGTAGATTGTCTTTTGGCTTTCCAAGAAATCAGTGAATCTCCAATGAATATGCAGAAAGCAGTAATAGACTTCCTTGTGTCAATACAAGAATCCCAATTAGCATCTGAAAAAGCTTGTAGTTTGATGGGTGAAGAGGTTGATGCTGTAAAAAGTAGACCATGACCAGGGTTGCTCTTCAGGTAACGAAGAAGGTGGTGTACTGCTTTTAGGTGTGGCAATCGAGGTTGAGCAAGAAACTTACTCAATTTATGAACAACATATGTGATATCAGGTCTACATAATGTCAGATAGATCAATTTCCCAATCAACCGTCTATAGTGTGAAGCATCCGGTAATAGGTCCCTTCCATGTATGCTAAGACATGCCTTTGGATCTATAGTTGTATTAACTGGTTTGCAATCCAGATAGCCAGCATTTTCAATCAATTGTAAAGTGTAATGCCTTTGAGAAATAACTATGCCTGATTTTGAGCGATTATTTCAATACCCAAAAAATATTGCAAACAACCCAAATCCTTCAGCTCGAATTGAGAGTGTAAGAACGTTTTTAAAGAGCCAATGATCTGAGAATTAGGACCAATGATGACAATGTCATCAACATATAACCAATAGTGCCACAAAGTCTTTCGCAGATCCGTTGGTAAATAATGAGTAATTGGCCTTGGATTGGATAAATCCAAAGTGAACTAGAACCTATGAAAACTTTGAATTCCACTGTCGTGATGCTTGTTTGAGTCCATAAATGGACTTGTGCAATTTACATACCAACTTCTCCCCTGCTTGGCAGTGTTCTAAGCTTTATAGCCAAGAGGAAGATCCATATATGCCTCCTCGAACAAGTCTCAATTCAAGTAGGGGTTATTGACATCTAGTTGAACCAAATGCCAATTATGGTAAGCGGTAAGAGCTAGCAGCACTTTAACAGTTACTATCTTTGCCATTGGAGAAAATGTATCAAAATAGTTGAGATTCTCTTGTTGTGTGTAGCCTTTTGCAACAAAGCGTGCTTTGTGTCTTTCAATTGAACCATCCGAGTTGTATTTTATCTTGTATATCCTTCGGCAACCCACAAAATGTTTACGATTTGGTAAAGGAAACCACTGACCATGTATGGTTAAGTTCCATAGCATCAAGTTCAAGCTGCATAGCTTCACGCCACTGAGGCTATTTTATAGCTTGATGATAAAATTGTGGTTCAATTTGGGATGATACATTCAATATAAATTGTCGATTATTGGGGGACAACGTGTCATAATACAAAGTGGCTAATGTTGTGAGGTGATTGATGAAAGAGGTTGGAATTTTGAGAAATTATGTTGCAGTGAAAATCTTTGAGATATTTTGGAGGTTTACTAATTCTCTGTGATTTTCTAACATTATTTGCTGGAGTGTGAATTGGTTAGATATCAGTCTGGTTAATATCATTTTGAATGGGGGATGTCTAATAGGTTGAAGGTCATGAGATGTGTCTTCTTGGGATGATGTATGAGCTTCAATAGGTGAAATAGAATTAAGGATATGTTCAATTGATTCAGCGCTGGTAACATGAGGAATGAACAAATATGGGACTGGCAGAACTAAGTCAGGAAAGGGATCTTTAAGTTGATCATCTTCAATAGCAGTATGAAAGGGAAATATTGTTTCATGAAATATGACTTCTCGTGATAAGAAAATACTTTGAAACTACATCATAGGGTTTATATCCTTTGACCCTAGATGGATATCCCAAAAACATGCATACTCTAGCACGAGGTTGAAATTTGTTTATGTGTGCAAACAATGTGGAAGCAAATACCAAACATCCAAACACCCTAAGTGCAGAATAATCTGTCGAGTTTAGAACTTTTGCATCAAAAATATATAAGTCTTGTAAACGATCACCCCTGCCAATCATCCTCCTAGTTTTGGTCTCCTGAATGATGAAATGATCATGAAAGACGCTGATGGTGAGTGGTGATCCAAGTGTTAGAGCACTAACAAACAACAAATTGAACTTGAACTGTAGCACAAACAAGACATCATGTAGAATAATCTTTGGGCTCAACTTGACATCACCAGAGTCTTACTGGGATTAGTTGCACCTGAATCTACTATCCAAATGTCTCTGGATGAAAACATAGGATCTACTGTTATGGAATAACATATACCTATTGCATGTGAAATGAGGTTGCTGTCATGCTGATTAGTAGTTGTAATGTTTGAACTTGATGCCAAGTGAGTAGATAACATGGAAATTAACTGTTGATCCTGGTTGGAGTTTGAGTTCTGAACAAAGTACCCAAAGCTTGGCTGTTGATCGAGTTGCTTATCCTCAGTCTAATGGTTAACTGATGCAGAAATCTGATTAACAGCATTAGAGCCTGGGATATTTTGGAAGATGTCCCTTGATCTTGTCTTGTAACCAGGTGGATATCTGTGGATATTGTAACATTTATCAGTGGAATGACCATGAAAGTTATAATGAGTACAATAAGGTCTCTCTTTCTTCTTGACATTTCCATGATTTCCAAACCTTGAGTTAGTGTTGTGAGTACCAAAATTACTTATTGATCTGTTGTTATCAGTTTTAAAGGTAAAGGCAACAGCTCCATTCAAATCATTTCCAGCATTTATCGGTGTACTTATCTTCCTCTGATTTTCTTCATGTGCTATCAGGGCAAAACCTTATTGATTGGAGGCAATGGATCCATAAGCAACACCTGTCCTCTGGCTTAAGAGAATGAGTCGTCATTTTGAACTCCATTTTATAGTGATTATTCAACTCTTTCACACCACCACATGTACATTTTCCACAACTACAATTAGGGCGGTAATTACTCAATTCCTCCCAGATTGTTTTGAGTTTAGTGAAATAGATGCTGACATTGTTTTGACCCTGAACCTCCTTAATTGAAAAACATGTGGTCCATTTTTCTGTTGGAATCTGTCATTTGAGTCCTTCCAAATTTCATATGCAGATGTTGCATATATTACGCTAGCTGAAATATCCTTAGAAATGGAGTTCAGAATCCATGAAATGACTATATTGTTGTTTCGAATCCATGAATTAACCAGATCAGAATTAGCACCATCAGGTTTGGATATGGTTCCATCCACGAATCCAAGTTTATTCTTCACAGATAATGCAATTGTCATTGCACGGCTCCAGGACATAGTTATCTCCGATGAGTTGTTGAGATACCCGAATTAATCCTGGACCATCTAAATGATGAAGGAAGTAAGGACTTGAAGGTTCATCAATGGCAGATTTGTTCAGTGATGACCTTGAATCGGATTGATTTTCGAATTGTAACGATTCCTTAGGAAGATGAAATCAAGCAACAGATTAATTGAATCTGTGAGAAAGAAGTGTGTGGGAAGGAAGTGCTCTGATACCTTGTTAGCTTTAGAATTGGAATGTAAACTGTGTATTCTTCACTCATTCAATCTAACTGAAAATGAAATACAAGAGAGCTATATATAAATAGCATACGGGAATATCCAGCTGGCTACCAACTTTCTAACTAATTGACTAACAGAATAAACTAACTAACTATATGTACAAGTTTTATTACTACAGCTCTAATAATTGCTTTTGATTGAGGATTTTAAATATTTTCTTCCTGGCATTTACAGTGTCAGAAACAAAAACGTATTTTGTTTATTTTTATATTTCTAACATTGAATGCATACATTTATCTGTTAAATGCTGATGATTTGTATTTGTATTGCTATTCCAGTTTCAACTCACTCGTCAACTTCTGATGTTCTTATGCAGTTCTCTCCAGGAATCCAATCCGCACGCTTGGTGAATCTGTGGTTAAACTTAAGTCAATCACAAAAGTATTTTCTAAATTGACATAATTTCATCAGAGAAACTCTTGGATTAAATGACTAGAGGATTCTCACTGTTTCTTCATTGCAGCTTTCTCTTTCAAACTGCCAACTGCAGACCATTGGTTCATCACTCAAGTACTGTGCAGAGTTAAAAGAGCTTCGCCTTGCCCACAATGAGATCACGGTCTGTTTTCAACTTGATTCTCTCTCAAGAATTTTTTTCAAACTGTTGATTTTATGCAGTATTTTGGCAATTTGATATTGTTAAAGCCTTAATTTCTTCTTGGTGTTGCTTAATGATTATGCTACTAACTTTTGCTCCTTCACTATTTAGACTGTTCCAGGTGAGTTTGTCCATCTCGTAAAACTCCAGAATCTAGACTTGGGAAACAACTTTATCACAAAGCGGTCAGATCTAAAGGTTAGCATTTCTCAATCAATGATCTTTCATATTTGATTATATTTGGTCAATATGTTCTTTACCATGTGTCATTGCTTTATAATCGAATGCAAGGTGCTCTCTTCATTAGTCAACCTAAAAAATTTGAATCTACAAGGAAATCCAGTTTCTGAACAGGAAAATTTAGTGAAGAAGGTGAGTTTCTACTGCAAGACGATTTTTTTCTTCTGTCTGACGGTGACATCAAATTTTTGAAATAACAATCCTCATACGGATGCTTCACCAGGTGAAAAACCTAGTACCAAATGTGCAGATCTTTAATGGTAGACCAATTGAAAAGATAATGACGACGGAAGAGATTGACAAGGGTGATGTTTCTTCAGCAAAAAGGACCTCGAAAAAAGGTGATCCAGATAATACTGGATCTCTTGGCTTGGAAAAAAGGAAAAATCTATTTGATGAAAAAGCTTCTTATGGCCCTGAGGATGGTACAATCTTGGAGAAGAAAATAAATAAAAAGTTGAAGATATTGCTGCAGAATGATAACAATATCACAGATGTAGAAACTCCAACTGTGGAACCTCATGAGAAAAAGAAATCAAAGCACAAAATGCAACACACAGATGAACCTGTGATGGGAAAAGCTTCAGATATCCAGGGTGATCATATCATGATAGACAAGAAACCTGATAAAAAATCAAGAAAAAAAGTGAAAGGGGATAACATTAATGTTATAGACAGTGCAGAAGCTCCTTTTATGGATCTTTTTACCGACAAGACTGACGCCGGCATAAACACTGATGAGAAGAAGTTAGATCATAAAACTAAAGATAGAGATGCCGTTAGCTGTTTGGTAACCTTTCCAACTAAGAAAAAGAAGAAGAACCGCAGTGTTGATCCAGCTGCTCTTCAGTTGTCTCCAGTAGAAGAAGTTGGATTAGGTGGACCGTCAACATGGGATGACTTGTGATGCTTGTGGAAGACCTCTAAATATGCCTCGAGAGGAATTCAAATCTGGGTGTGATGGTGGTGGAAGCATTTTGGCATGGGTTCAAGATCTCGTCTGGAAATGCTATTTTTGCTGTCGTCAGCATCTCCAAGAGTCTCTCTAACCAAAAGATGTTCTTTACTTTAGAGGGTTAATGTTTGAAGATAAATTTCAAGAAACTCTATATTCTTCTTTTATGATGATTATATTTAATGAGTTGTTGATTTCAATACTCTACTACTTAAATTATTCAGATTTATAGCTTGGATGTGGTACAACATTTATAATCTGTCGTCGTTACTTTTTTCCTTTCTCGTTATGGGCTTATAGCTGAAAACATCGTCCTCTTTTATCTCGATTAAATGAAAATTTTAATCATTTACTTCTACGTCTTCCACATGTCTTTATGAGTTATAAAAAATAGCATAAAATGCCTCTAGTTCAACATGAGACTAGAGAGTCGAATTATTTCTAGTAAATCTTCAACTCACCCCAATCAAAAGGTTGACTGTGGACAAACTGGACAAGTAAAACGTCTAAATTTTATGTAACTCACTCTCGATTGGGGATTAATTTGTCTTTTTCAAGATATTTCAACTCGAGTGTGGTTGAGATCGAAATATCGAAATTATAATTGCAATTTTTAAAATGGAACCCTAAATATTAGAGCTCATTAAAAAATAATAGTAAATAAATAAAGCAACTTGGTTCGAACAATCGAATAAAAGTATTGAAGTGTTTGATACATAAGATGAAAATGTAACTCTTTCGCGTTGTTACTCGCAAACAATTAAAAGAGGATCAGACGATTGTGTAAGGAACAAACCTCTTGGAATAAAGTCCCAAAAATGGGTGTTTTTCGAATATGAAGATTACAGTTTGGATATAAACAAGATGCCTCCAAGGGGCGCAAACACACAAGTACAAGGAGATGAATTAATTAAAGAAAATCTAAGAAAAAGTAAATTACATATTCTCTGTTTGAGAGT